AATCTTTAATCCAGTGAGAGTCTAACTTAGTTAATGGTGAAAGGTGTGGGTCCAGTTTCAGTCTTCTACAGGTTGCCAGCCAGTTCACCCAGCACTGTTTGTTAAATAGGGAATCTTTTCTCCACTCAATGTTTTTAATTGGCTTGTCAAAGATCAGGTACCAGTAAGTAGTTGGATTCATCTCTTGGCTCTCTATTCTGTTCCATATATCTACCTCTCTATTTTTGTGCCAGTACCATGCTGTTTTGATCACTATGGATTTATTGTATAATCTGAGTTCTGGTAGCGTGATTCCTCCTGCTTTGTTTTTATTCCTGAGTAATGTCTTGGCTATTCGAGGTTTTTTCTGATTCCTCCACTTGGCATTTCTTAGATCTTGGAGGAAGTTAAGCCCTTTTGCATATGCTTTGGTCTTGTGTATCTTGTGTGGGTCCCACTTATGCATCTTGTGTGGAGATCATCAGACCATTTTCTATCAGGTTTTAGTGTTTTTCCTGTTGATTTGTGTATATTAAGGATGGAATTTTTTAACTGAATTGTATTTTCTGCAAGTAAAGTAATTTCCCTGGTGTGTGTTTTTTTTTTTTTTTTTTCATTTTAACTGTGACATGCCTGCCCTCTGTATTAAAGTAAAATCGCAGAAGGCCACTGCAGTGGCTCATGCCTATAATCCTAACATACTGGGAGGCCAAGGTGGTGGATCACCTGAGCTCAGGAGTCCAAGACCAGCTTAAGTAAGAATGAGACTCCATTTCTACTAAAAGTAGAAAAATTAGCCGAGCATCGTGGCAGCTCATTTTGGGAGACTGAGGAAAGAGGACTGTGCAAGCCCAGGAGTTTGAGGTTGCTGTGAGCTATGGTGCCACGGCCCTTTACCCAGGGTGACAGAGTGAGACTCTGTCTCAAAAAAATAAAATAAAATCACAGAATAGTCTGGGATGGGAGAGACTTGGCAATATTAAATATGCAGACCATTATGTTGCCAGACAGCCAGGACGCTTACTTCTACTTCTCCCTTCAGAACCCCAGACTGCTCCCTAGGGTTCAAATCTGAGACTGCTATATATTTCATAATAATTCTTTTAGGTATCTACTATTTGCATATTGACCTTTATTTTACAACTAGGCATATAGTAAGGTTTTGAGTGACTTTCTTAAGTCAGAAGAAGTAAAATTGTCAGAATCTCTTGTCCACAATAGGCATTTGGGGCTTCAAATTCTGCCCTTACACTTGGCTGGCTTTTCCTTTTACCTCCTGTCATCTTATTTCCTTGTATCTTCTGTGCATTTTGGTTCTCCTGCCCCGAAAGACCCTCTGCACTTGCTCCCAAGACCGGGGTGTTTATGACAAACTTGCCTCCCTCCTCTCTCTTCTTGCCTCTTTCACTCCTGGCGTGTGTGAGTTTCCTGTAGAAAGAGACAGGACATAAGAGCCAGGCAGGGCGAGAAACATTGGATGTTTCTGTTCAATCTTGCTGCTTGGCTCGGCGCCTGTGGCTCAAACAGCTAAGGCACCAGTCACATACACCTGCGCTAGCGGGTTCGAATCCAGCCTGGGCCGTCTAACAACAATGATGGTTGTAACCAAAAACTAGCCAGGTGTTGTGGCAGGCACCTGTGGTCCCAGCTATTTGGAGGCGGAGGCAGGAGACTCGCTTGAGCCCAGGAGTTGGAGATTGCTGTGAGCTGTGATGCCATGGCACTCTACCCAGGGGAACGGCTTGAGGCTCTATCTCAAAAAAAAAAAAACAAAAAACCCTGCAGCTTCAGAGAAAATAAACTAAAGAGAGATGCAACATGAAAGCAAGCAGAAACAGGGGCTAAATGGTTACGGAGAGGGTGTAGGAAAAGAATGGAAATTATTACTTGACAGCTCCAAAGATGGTGGCTTCCCTGCTCCGTGTTTTGTAATTTCATCAGCATCCAGGATTTCCACTCTGAACAGACATGCGCCTGGGTACCGTGCGTGCCATGAACCTCTTCTGACTGGGAACCTGGAGACGTCTCCTGATCCTCAGTGTAATGTCAAAGGGTATGTCAGCAAGGTAACTGGGGGATGAGACGCTGAATCAGAAGTAGCGAAGTTATTCAGGAGTTTAACATATTCACTAACAAAACCTTGAAAGTGACACAAGTAGATGAATGAATGACAAAAAGTAGAAATGAGTGTCACATTACAGAAAGTGGAGAACAGTAACATCACAGCATTCCCACAGGATGGACTAGAGGTCATTGTTGATAATCCCTGTTTCCAGAGACTTCATTAAGGACAAGAGGAAACGTGAGCAAGAGGAGAAAGTAGAACGTGAAACTTCCCACGTGCTGACTGCGAGATGGCAGGTGTTTGACGTGTGAACCCAGATTCACACATGAGTACGGGCATACACACAGGCGGTGGCCATGAGGAAAACACTGGAAGGAGCGGCACTGAGTTTAAAGGGGCAGTTTTCTCTGGGTGGAATGTTGTCTTTCTCATTCTTGTCTGGGTCATTTACATCTATTTTCTTTATAATTAGAGAACAGGGAAAACAAATTAGATGGTGAAGGTAAAGAGAAAAAAAATGGAAGTGTAAGGCTCAATTTTCAAATTTCAGCTTAACAATCTGGCTTGTTTTTGTAGCTGGTGCGCTTGGTTTTCCCTGATCTTGGCACCCGGAGGCTGGGCACCAGAGGAAGTGCCAGGTAGGTTTATAATTTTTGTTTTATTTCAAATTGTTAAAAACCTTTGGAAAAAATCACAAAACGAGTGGCCAAAAAAAGACAAAACAGAACAAACTGTATATATACACATATAGTATAACACTTTAAACATCTGGACATGGAAATGTCTCATTACTGAAATATTTAAATAATTACACATATAGGATAATGGAACTGTTTTATTATGTTCTGAACAAAAATTTCTAAGTATTCACCTGATTAGCATACATGAATTAATATTTAGGAAGCTAGGTCCCAAGCTTGTATTTTCAATGCAAAAGGAAATTCCAGCGTTATCTGGTGCATCACGTCGTAATTGTCACTCAATTATTATTCTTTTTTGTCATTAGTTTTAAATTGAGACCGGAAATCAGTGAGAAGGGATCAAAGCCGATTTAGGAAAAGGGGCTGCCACTCATGAAGGGATGGAAGACGGGGGAAGTGTTTGCCAAACCTTATTCTTTGGTAATAATTAACTTGAAAAATTTTTGTTTTGCTCTGAGACTGGACAAGTTGCTGCAGTTTCCTGGGCTGGGCAGAGGAGGGAAGGGCTGCAGGGGAGGAGCCTGCCCACTGGACTGGGTTTCTGAGAACCTGAATCTATATCTCAGGAGAGGGAACATTGGTGCCACTCCATACTAATGGCAGAGGCATAAGAGGCTTTCTCGGTCTCATCTCTCTAAGATTTCAAGACTCATATGTATGAAACAGTATGAAACTGCTTGTCTACCTAACAGAGTTTGGTCAGGCTGAAAGATCAGCCTTTTGGAGTAAATGGAGTCACTGATAAAACCCAGAGAAGAACTCCAAGTCTTCATTAGCCAGCCTTCTCTGTGCCTTCCAGAAAGCCTGCCAACAGTTTGTCCTGATTTTAAAGATGGCCTTTATTTTTTCAGGTATCATTATGATGGAATCTGTATCAAGAAAAGTTCTTTCTTCTATGCCCAGTATTGCTACCTTCTAGGCGAAAAAAGGCACCACAGGTTAGTCCCTATCATTGGGGCACTTCGGCTTGGGGTCACAAGCCTGGGTAATACCTGACTCATTCATATTTTAGTTGTACATGGTTATTATGAAAGTTTTGAGTTACACAAAAATCAGGAAACGTAAAATCTGTGTTTGTATGGAAACAAACGAAGCCCTCCCAGCAGCACCCATAAGCCAAGCAAGGTGAAACGTGCATGGGTGAATCAGAAAGGAGGCTGCGGACTGCGTTTGTTGGAAGTGAAATCATGGACCATAACGTGGTCTGCATCAAAACCTTGGTAGTGACCCATGCATCTCACCGACTGGTAGTTCTGCCTTGAAGTCCTCTTTAGAGATGGAGACACACACATCACATCAACGGGTCTTTGACCAACAACACCCCTGTCAGCCTCTGGCAGCATCTTTGGCCAGAGAAATTGGACTTCTGGTTCATTCCCTTGGATACTGGTTTATTCCCTTGGATACTTTTCATTCCAAGTTTCACCCCAATTGCCAGAGCCATTTTTTCACTAAGTGAGTCATTATTCTTCTCAACTTTTATGCAAAAGTTGACACAATGGACCTATTCAGAGGGAGAAATGACTATGGCAAAAATTATGATTTGCATGAGGGAGAAATAGGCACAGTGGCTAGAAATTGGCACGTCTTTCTTGAAACTTTCTTTAGCCCTTTCTTTAACTCTCTGTGCCATCCCCCCACCCCATTCCTCCTCTGTCATCATAACTCTCACCTGTTACCTCCCACAGGTGGATGCCTCCTAAACTGTGGCCACTGGTCCTGACCCAGGCATTTGTCTCTGGCTCTCTACTGGGCATTTCCATCTAGATGGGCCCATGGGTGCCTCACACTCAATGTGTGGAAGTCTAAACTTAGAATCTCCCTCCAAATTGTCTCTGCCCCTTGACATCCTTGTTTTGATCTAAGATACCAATGGGCAGAATCTGGACAAAGTGGCACCGCAAAGCCACCCCTGGCCTCCCTCAGGCACAAAGCTCTGTTAATGTTTCCTTTTCAGTTCTACTGACTCACTCTTTCTGGTACTGATATTTCCCTTAAGCCCTTGTCATCTTTCACTGAAATGATTTCCAGAGATCCCACATGGCCTTCTCTCCTCTCTTTCCCATTCTAACCACAACCACCAGACCAACCTCCCCCAAGTTCTGCACCTGCTTTGTCTCTTTCCCTTCTCAGAAACACGAGGGTGCCTGCCCTTGCCAGATGGGTGCTAGCAGCCCACTTCCTTCCTGCTCCTCTTTCCAGCCATATTGCCTGTGTCTCCCCAACATAAACCATAATTTCAGCCACACCTGCTTCTCTCTGCATATGTCAAATGCGGTTCTGCCATTACTGCCACCATTCCATCCTTCCACGATGCCATTCCTTCTTGTCCCTGTCTAATAGGACCATCCTGAATTCATCTATTCCCTTTGGACATACCTCAAGGACCACCCACCCAGCAGGACCATCCTCAGTAATGGCAGCTTCAGGAAAGATTCTTTCCTTTTTCACGCTGCTCACTGGCCATCTACACAGCCAGCACTTCTGCTTGATTCATGAACTATTCATTGAGTCTTCATCTGTTATAAATAGATGACATATGTCTAAGTAGCCAAGGACAATTTCAGTTTCATTGGCAACCCAACATAATTATTAATAGTGCCCCTTTTACTCTCAAAAGTGTTGTAGTTTAGACAACAAATTATAACCAATTGCACAGCCGCCCTCTGTATAAAGCATCCTATGTGTGAGGCACCTGCTGAGGTGGAGAGATGAGAAGCCTCCAACATGGGTAAGACATAGACCCTTCTCTGAAGACCTCATCAGGGAGCTCAGATCAGACATTTCACCTGATACTAAGGGTGATGTGATGGGTGTCAGAAATGTGCAAAAGGTCTCATGAGAACTCAAAGATGGGGAGCCCACATTTGGGGCAGAGGATCTTGAAAGGCCTATGAGGGAGCTGGGCTTTGAGCTAAAATCATGAAGGACAGATTAAAATTTTGACAGGTGGTGTAGGAGAGGGAAGGAAGATAGCAGGTGACCTCCGGCTTAGGGAGGAAGGGACGTGACGGCGTGAGGTTCCTTCTGTGCGGGAGTGTGTGGAGCTGCAGTAGAAGATGACTCTGGAAGCAAGCTCAGAGGCTCCGACTGCCAGGCTGGGCAGTGGGGGTCGTCTCTAAGTCCATCAGAGGCTTCCCATGAGAAACAAGGTGGAATCATCACTGAAACCCCCCCCAGGGCAGATACCGTGCAGCTTTGCTTATTTTGATCTTGCTGAGGTAGGAGTGTGTGTGTCCCTTCAAAATGCATATTGATTAGAAGTTCAGTGACACAGCATTCAGACCTTTGGCCCTTCTGCCGTGTGAGGACACAGCCACATGGAGCAAAGAATGAAACTGGAGGTCATTGTATGAAGTGAAATAAGCCAGGCACAGAAAGACAAATACTGCATGTTCTTCCTCATAGGTGGGAGCTAAAAACGCTGGTCTTGGGGAAGTCCAGAGCAGAATGGTGGTTACCAGCGTCTAGGAAGTGTGGTGGGAGCACGGGAGGTGGGCTAATGGACACTGACGTACAGTTAGATGGAAGGAGTAGGGTCTATCGTTGGACAGCACAGGAGGGTGACTGTAGTTAACAATGTATTGTATATTTCAAAATGGCTAGAAGATTCGAAATGTTCCCAACATAAAGAAATAAATGTTTGAGTGATAGACATGCTAAATACCCTGATTTGATCTTTGCACATTGTATACATGTATTAAAATGCCACATGTACCCTATATTTATGTACAATTATTATGTAAAAAAAAAGCAGAGACTTCACCAGACTCTGACTCTGTACAGACATTGACTCTTCACCAGACAATGACCTTGTACTTCCCAGCCTTCAGAACTGTGAAAAATACATGTCTTTTATTTATAAATTACCCAGTCTAAGGTATTTTGTTATAGCTGCAAGAACAGACTGAGATCTATCCTCATTCAGAGTAGGCACTGAAATAGCTGTTGAAGAACTGAAAACTCAGACTGGGGTTTAAGAAGAATAGATGAAGGAGGAGGCCAGTCCAGGCCTCTCAGAGTCAGGGCCCGCGGAATCTGGCAGTTGGTTGAGTCAGTGTCCTTAGAAGGGCACAGAGATGACTCAGCCACACCCGTCCCACCAAAACCTCGAACTCAACCTCAAATAAAGTCATTAGGCTCTGTCTCCGACCAGCTCTTCCTCTTCCGTCTCTTATTCATCCCTGAGTCACAAAGATGGAAAAGTTACATCAGCAAAAATGGAGAAGCTGGGAAAGGGAATAGCTGTGCCGAGAGGTTTATTTCTTCGGTTAATGTTAGAGTGTGCCCAGCAGTCAGCCAACTAACGGGTCACGGGCAGAACCCTGCACGCTCCAAGGAGGCCACTAACCAGGCAGGCACTTGGCACTTGGGGTGAGAGGCCGTTCGTGTCCCAGAGACTCTGCATTTGTTTCAGACATCACAGGGAGAGGGGAGAGGAGCAGTCTTTGTGGGATAAAGAAAATAGGCTTTCTCATCCGTGAAGAGGAAGAGGACTGCCAGGGGATGAGGATAAGGGCTGGGGTGATATTAGCTTGTTGATGAGATAAGTCCAACAGCGGATGCTTTTCATGTACTCTGCGTTCAACAAATTATTCAATAATTGACGAACTTTAAAGTCTTAGTCAATTAAGAAATTATTTTTAAGCATTATATTATTTTTAAAAGCATTATATTCCTAAGCAATGCCACATTTCAAGACTTATTAAATGAGGCCAGGCACAGTGGCTCATGCCTGTAATCCCAGCACTTGGGAGGCCGAGGCAGGTGGATTGCCTGAGTTCAGGAGTTTGAGACCAGCCTGAGCAAGAGGGAGACCCCATTTCTAAAAATAGCTGGGAGCTGTGTCTGGCACCTGTAGTCCTCCCTGTACTTGGGAAGCGGAGGCAAGAGGATCACTTGAGCCCAGTTTGAGGTTGCTGTAAGCTATGATGCCACAGCACTCTACCAAGGAGGACAAAGTGAGACTGTATCTCAAAAAAAAAAAAATACTTACTAAATATGGATTTTAGGAGGCAGCAATATAATAAATGTTACAGTGTTAATAATCAATGAGCTGTACTGATGAAAATGTCATCAATTTTATTCATGATATCTTTTACATAAGAATCTGTGTGACCAATCCCTCTTAAAATTTAGGTCTCAAAATAAAAATGTTGACCTTTCTGGTTTTCAGGTAATGAAAACACTATAACTTATCCTCTGTTTATTAATATTTATTTGTTCACTCAATAAATATTTGAGTTTCAACAATAAGTCAGGCCTGTTCTAGCTACTAGTGATACAGCAGTGAACAAGGTAAACAAGGCCTCTCCTCTTACTGAGTGTTAGTCAAGGAGAAAGAATTAAAAAGGAACAATAGCTGATGTGATGTGAAGACCTTACATGGGAGTCCTGGGAAGGCCTCCCTGAAATGATGCCATTTGGGCAGAGTGCCAGTGAAGGAGCCACCATGGGAAGATCTGGGACAAACAAGCATTTCAGGCAGAGGAAAGAGCAAGTGCAAAGGGCCTGAGGCAGAGATGAGCTTAAAGAACAACAAGAAAATCTGAAGGTGGACTTTGGTAGATGAATGGGAGAAGGGGAGAGAACAACCCAGACAATAGGAGGGAGAGGCTAGAGAGACTAATAGGGAGCTTTTGCAGAAGTCCTGGAGAAATGACCCTTCGAATTTAATTACTGAAATAATTTTAATTCTCCTAGAAAGACAGCATAATGATGTGTAATCCTCCATGTGGATAAGAGCAGAGACTCTGGAACAGACTGTCTTGCTCTAACTGATCAGCTGCAAGCAGCAAAACCTCACTGTGCCTCAGTTTCCTCATCTATTAAATGAGCCATACTATGTGTGGCTTCAGAGCAAAAGAATTTATTAGGGACAGAAAGGGACTGTCTTAGTCTGTTTTCTGTTGATTATAACAGAATACCTGAAACTAGG